GAGGATGTAAGTGTTGTTTTTGCGGAGTATTTTCAATTTTAACCTGTTTGCTCATTTTTAGATTATACAGACTATTCGCTTACTGCCGATGATGAACATCTCCGTCAAGGTGCAGGGATTATGGCAAGGGGAGACGAGAGTTCGCATTATTGAAGCCACTGGTACGTGCGCACTGTTTTCAAAAAATTGCTTGTTTTCGTTGGCTGCGAATTATATTGTGCGCTTGCCGCTGTTATTTTATGACTTCTAACTGAGTTTCAGTGTAGGTCAATTTTCTCTACCACCCTTTCTACTGAAATTCTATTTTTTGGAAAAACTCTTTAGTGCCTCTTGTAAATGGAATACAGTCGAATCTGCTACTTGAAATTAATCGCATTTATCTTTAAGCGTCGGCTGTATTTAAGAACTTTTTTGAGTGATGCGTATCGATGTACTTTCTTTGCAGTTTTGCTTTCCGAACCATCACGCCTTGCTCATTGCCGATGAGCCATGAGGAAAGTAGACAACATATGGAATTCTAAAGGAATTAATAACTCTTAGACAGTATGAAATAAAATGTTACCCCTATATTCTGGGGTAGCTACCATTAATGGTGGTTTTCTAATTCCGCCGGCAAATATAACATTATAATTACTGAAATTATATTTACACGACAGAAGCCACTGTCCTCTTTTTCCTGGTTGCATAGAGGAGCATTTAAGGAGGTCAAGGCTCCATGGTATCTAACTGCTTCGAATGCAAGACCGCAAGCGTGAGGTGCAAGAAATTAGGGCATGTTGAAGTACAGCAGAAATTGCCGCTCTCTGTGAGCGAATATATAGACAAATTAGAATAAACACAGTCCCGATATTCTGGGGTAATTACCACGAATGGAAGCTTCGAAATATTTATCGGCGAAATCGTTTTGGTTTTTCTAAGTCATTGCTATTGTTGTTAGATCTCCGATACGTTCTTTAAACATTTATTTTCTGTATAATTGCCTTTCAGTTACGATAGGACTTTTAGTTATAATTCTTTGCATCGTTTTTTTCAAATTTCTTATTGTAATGCTAATTTCTAGAAATTTCAAGCAGTACCACATGGTTAACTCTGTACTCTGATACAGAATACGTGCTCTGCGTTGACCTGTTGAGAAGAAACAAGGTAAGATATTGGGCTGAACTGCTTATATGTCTATACTGCTTATGCTTGCTGCACTTCATTAAGCTTAGCGCAGTTACAAACTTAGTACTCAGTATGTAATCATAATTCATTCACCCTTGATAATAATATATAGAGGAATCCAAATGATAATAAAATTGTGCCCTTTTTCGTTAACTGTGTACCTGAAAAGGTTATCTGATAAAATCATGTGTTGGCACTATCTCTGTAGTTAAAGAAAGGCTGGCGACCGATTGTTCTTACTATCGTGGTATTACGTTTCCTGATCACGAAAATCTGTTCTCGTTAATCATCCTAAAAATGTTGACGGAGACAGTTGATGGGAGACCGCGAAATTTTACCAATCTTCAGGACAAGCGTGGACCAGTTCATTAATCCAGTTTCTAATTTTCATGTAGTCGCTGAGCAATGAGATTGAGTTGCCATGTGCGCAACTTTCAACTAATTTAAAGTTGCACTTTATTCAAATATCCATCGCCTAACTGTTTTGAGATGCTTTGGAATACCTAAGCGCAGCGTTGCCATTTGCAAGAAATGCACAATGGAAGCACATTTACTATTAAGGTCTAAGGACAGCAGCCCAGGTAATTCCCATCAACTAACGGTCGAGTTCTCCAGGCAGGAGAACTTTCCTCTTCGCTTTTAAACGCTGTTCTCAACTTTCTCCCACTAATCAGTACTGTCCATGGCAAAAATGAGAGCCGTTTTAAATATGTGCAGTTCAAGAAATCTTATCAGATATCTTGCCGACTTGAAGCGGGAGAGTGGTTTTGCTATCTCATGGACTCTGAATACAGTACTGCTGCAAAAGCCGACATATTCCTTTACATTAAGGAGGCGCAAGTTATGAGGAACCGATCTGTCACGCAGATCCGCAAGTGCAAGCAAGTGAAAGAAGGACATTAAATGGTAGAGAGGGTTCACCAGTTTATGTACCTCTGTTCCATCATCTTCAGTTATATTACCGTCCCATTGAGCGGTCACCTTTGCATGAAATCATGGCCCGTATAATATCTGAGTTGAAAGCGGAATCTGCACGAAAATTCGCCTATGCATCTTCCAGGTCAGGTTCCTTTGCTAGATGACATAAAGACCGTAATTTCAACAAATGGCAAAATATGTCAGTTAAACAGCATGCATCTCCTGTGCCTTCAATGCACAATGATCGTTAAATGACATGGTCGCGTAAGAAATCGCCAGCATTTTTAACCATACAATCTGTAGTTCAAACATACGTTAGAAAAAAGTTTTGCCCTGCAAAGCAAGCTGGTTGAGCATCAATCTTTCAATTTTCATTCTAACCCATGAGCTACACATATTGGAACCGAACCATGATAGGCATTGATCAACAGATCAGCATACAACATGGGCAGAAATAATAGAGTCAAGTTCGTGTTCACAATATGGCTGTTGCTAAGGTACAGGATCTGACACCTGGTAAAAGTGTTAAACTTCTGAAAATGCAATCGTCGAAACGATGCAGTAAATGTTCTTATAAAGCATACAGCTGCAGATGATGATCAGAAGCAGCGGCGAGCATAGTAATTGCGAAGATGTTGCTTTTAATAGACACATTCTTAGTTAACTTCCGCTTCTAAGAAAAGGTTTTCTTCATTTTGTTGGGACTACTGTGAATTAAAGCCGACTGCAATTGTCAGTCTCTTCGTATACGGTATACATCGCATCTGAGTGTGCAACTATAAAACTGCCGTCTCGTTGTTGGTTTGCTCGCCTCGTGATATTTACTGTGAACTGCGAGGTTTCGCTTTTGCACTTGAATCCATAGCGATGTTGCATTTATATTTAAGAATGCTATTTATTTTTATTTGGTTTTTTATATAGAGCGAAAATAGCCGCGCGTATACGCCTAAATTTCCAAAGATGAAAGACGAAGGCTGGATTT